CCCCTATCTCTCTGCTCTCTTCTCTCTTTTATATCTCAAAAGAGATTGGCTTAAGACATTATCTAATCTTGTAGACCTCATCAATATAACTGCCGCTAATCCATCTTTTTACATCATAGTGATATAATTTACAACACACAGGGAAATCACATCAAATGACAAAATGGTAGACAGTCATACAACACTGGGAATCATGACCTAGCCAAGTTGACAGATATTTTGGGGGGAAACAATTCAATCCATGACACACAGGAATCAATTCAACTACTTCTGTGGAAAGAGACGATTGAGAAGTTCAGTATCATCAGTCAGAACAAGGTCAATGGTTGACTGTGGAACAGACCATCAATTGCTCATATGCAAGTTCAAGCTGAAATTGAAGAAAATTAAAACAAGTCCACAAGAGCCGAAGTATGACCCTGAGTATATCCCACCTGAATTTAGAAACCATCTCAAGAATAGACGAAGTGTGGGATGATATCAAAGACATATACATGAAGAAAGCAAAAGGTCATTAAAAAGACAGGAAAGAAAGAAAAGACCAAAATGGATGTCAGAAGAAACTCTGAAACTTGCTCTTGAAGGTAGAGTGTTAAAGTGAATGGAAGAAATGATGAAGTAAGAGCTAAACAGAAGATTTCAAAGGGTGGCTCAAGAAGACAAACTGAAATATTATAATGACATGTGCAAAGAAAGAGCTGGAGTTAAAAAACCAAAAGGGATGAAAATGCTCAGAATTTCTCAAGCTGAAAGAACTGAAGAAAAAATTGAAGCCTTGAGTTGCAATATTGAAGGATTTTATGGGCAAAATATTGTACAACACAGGAAACATCAAAAGAAGATGGAAGGAATACACAGAGTCATTGTACCAAAGTGGTCAATGTTCAATCATTTCAGGAGGAAGCATATAATCAAGAACTTATGGTACTGAAGGAAACAGTCCAAGATGCACTGAAGGCATTGGCAAAAAACAAGGCTCCAGGAATTGACGGGAGCCCGAGATGTCTCAACAAGTGGATGCAACTTTGGAGGCGCTCACTTGTCTATGCCAAGAAATTTGGAAGATAGCTACCTAGCCAACTGACTGAAAGATATCCATCCATATGTGTGCCCATTTCAAAGAAAGGTGATCCAACAGAATGCAGAAATTAGCGAACAATATCATTAATATCACAAGCAAGTAAAATTTTGTTGAAGATAATTCAAAAGGGGTTGTGGGGGTACATCAACAGGTAACTTCCAGAAATTCTAGCTAGATTCAGGAAAGGACGTGGAATGAGGGATATCATTGCTGATGTCAGATGGATCTTGGCTGAGAGCAGAGAATACCAGAAAGATGTTTACCTGTGTTTTACTGACTATGAAAAGGCATTCAACTGTGTGGATCATAACAAATTATGGATAACATTGCAAAGAATGGGAATTCCAGAACACTGAATTGTGCTGATGAGGAGCCTGTACATAGACCAAGAGGCAGTCCTTCGAACAGAACAAGGGGATACTGCGTGGTTTAGTCAGGAAGTGTGTGCGTCAGGGTTGTATCCTTTCACTATGCTTATTCAATATGTATGCTAAGCAAATATTCCGAGAAGCTGGACTATATGAAGAAGATTGGAGGAAGACTCATTAACAAGCTGGAGGAAGACTCATTAACAAGCTACGATATGCAGATGACCCAACCTTGCTTGCTGAAAGTGAAGAGGACTTGAAGGACTTACTGATGAAGATCAAAGACGACAGCCTTCAGTATGGATTACATCTGAACAAAAAGAAAACAAAAATCCTCACAATTGGACCAATAAGCAACATCATGATAAAAGGAGAAAATATTGAAGCTGTCAAGGATTTCATTTACTTGGATCCACAATCAACACCCATGGAAGTAGCTGTCAAGAAATCAAACGATGTATTGCGTTGGGCAAATGTGCTGCAAAAGACCGCTTTAAAGTGTTAAAAAGCAAAGATGATGCTTTAAAGACTAACGTGTGTCTGACCCAAGTCATGGTATTTGCAATTAACTCAGATACATGTGAAAGTTAGTCAATGAATAAGGAAGACCTAAGAAGAATTGATGACTTTGAATTACGATGTTGGTGAAGAATATTGAATATAACATGGACTGCCAGAGAATGAACAAATCTGTCTTGGAAGAAGTACAGCCAGAATGCTCTCTAGAAGGGAGAATGGTGAGACTTTGTCTTACGTTCTTTGGACATGCTATCACGAGGGACCAGTCCCTGGAGAAGAACATTCTGCTTGGTAAAGTAGAGTGTCAGTGAAAAAGAGGAAGACTCTCAATGAGATAGATTGACACAGTGGCTCCAACAATGGGCTCAAGCATAACAACTATTGTGAGGATGGCACAGGACCGGGTAGTGTTTTGTTCTGTTGCACATGGGGTCACTATGAGTTGGAATCAACTTGCCAGCACCGAACAACCATAACAACAACAACAACATCTTAGCATGGCCCACTTCTCCACGTTCAGGACAAGTATTGTGAATATTTTAGCAACCAATAAATCAAAGATACCCCCGTAACTTTTCTTTCTAAAGGTAGTTTGGAGTGGTCTCTTTCAAAGTATTTTCTCCTTTCCCTATGCTTTCATAATAAGTGTATGCTTAAGACACCTTTCTCCTTCAGTTTGACATTTATTTGTTCAAATCTTTTCTTGAAATTCGTGGGTGCTGCAAATGGTCAACGTGCTGCTAACCGAAAGGTTGGAGGTTCAAGTCCACCCAGAAGAGTCCACCCAGAAGTGCCTTGGAAGAAAGATCTGGTGATCTACTTCCGAAAAAGTCAGCCATTGAAAACCCTATGGAACACAGTTCTACCCTGACACATGTGGGTTAGCCATGAGTTGGAGTCAACTTGATGGCAACTGGTGGTGGTGGTGGTATCTTCTTATAAAACTATTCTCTCTTAGAAGACAAGGTTTACTTCTTTTATCCTATTTGCATTACCAACAAACAATGCTTTGGAGATAATATGTTCTCAGTAAATGTTAGTTCCTTTCCTACTATTACTATCAAGTGTGAATCCCCTTGGAGCCTAGAATGGCAGCTTGCATCTGGCACACATCAATGAATGTGTGAATAAGTGAATGAAGACCAGAACCCCAAATCCCACCTTAGAAGTCATTTGGTGGAGCCCTCTACTCCGTGGCTGAGTAACTTCTACAGTCTTCAGAGTGGTATTCTACCTTTGCTGAGACACCTCCAGGTCTTAGAACACTGACTTCCTCTCAAAGCACCTCACTTCATTGTCCTAGCTTCTCTTTCCTCATTAGAAAATTCTTCTCTGTGCTGAGCTGAAGCATGACTTTCCTGTAATGTCTCCCCATCCCCAGTGGTCCGAGCTCTGCCTTCAGAGAGAAAAGGCCAAATTTCTAGCTCACCTGACCATCCTTTCTGCAATAAGCGATTGAGTTCCATGCACTAGGAAAGTTAAAAAGTCTCACCCTGCAGGTAGACACTCCATTTGTACAGTATTTACACACACAGGAAAAATTCTGAAAAGGGAATATCTGATCCTGTTTCCTTCTGGAGAATCACCAAATGGAGAACATGGAGGCAACAAATGGACCCAATGAAGTCTACTTGGAGGAGAAACAAGTTGCTATCAAGTGGGTTCTAACTTGTGTGTCAGAGTAGAATTATGCTCCATAGGGTTTTAAGTGGTTGAATTTTCAGAAGTAGATTGCCAGGCCTTTTTTCCAAGGTGCCTCTGGGTAGACTCTAACTGCCAGTCTCTCAGTTAGCTGCTGAGTACATTAACCATTTGCAACACCCAGGGACTCCAAGTGGAGGAGGAGACTCTGATAATTGAAGAAGGGGGAGTATTTAGCCTGGAGAAGAGAAGTCTTTGAGAGAGACACTACCTGCCTTGAGGACAATTTCTGTGAAAAAAGGTGGATGTAAGTCCAGGGGGCACAAATTACCGAAAGGCAGAGTTCAGCTCAATTATAAGAAAAGACTTCGGAACTGTTCAAGCTCAGGAAGAGAGGGGTTCAAACAGAGACTGAGCTGGACCTCAATGGGCTTGTCAAAAAGAGAATTTTAGGACCAAATGAGGTTTGTCTGGACACAGGATTGGCTGTGTAATTTGCAGGGTTTGGTGCAAAACGGAAATACGGGGCCCTTGTTCCAAATCATTAAGAATCTCAAGCTTATGACAGCAGAGCAGTAAGCCAAGTGTGGGGCGCTTCAGAACATGGGGCCCTGAATGACTGCACAGGCTGGACTCCGGCTCTGAGCCTGTGGTTGTGGCTGGGCTGTGTGGCTCTAGTTCCACCCCTGCCTGAGTCCGTGCCTGACTGAGGGGAGCTGCCTCGCCAGGTCTGGCTTCACACTGTGGCTCTGTGTGCACAGCTGTGTGACCATCAAGGCCTGGCCCTGGAGTCACATGGAGAGAGTCACATGGGGTGACTTAAATCCCAGCACCACGCTTATCAACTGTGTGATCTTGGGCAAATTATTTTACTTCTTGGTCCCTTAGTGCCTTCATCAGTATCCACCCCATAAGGTTATTGTGAGGATTACGTAAACAATCCATGGGCATAGAACAGTGTGTGACATACAGTAGGTGCTCAATAAATTGTAGCAATCATTATTATTATCAGGGCCCAGCTTGAACTTCATTACTCCTTTGCATTCAGAAAACACACACACACCATATCCCGCACTGGGCTCTCCTATACTCCTGGCATGAGACATTCTGGAAGTATTATTATTTTAAATCAGACCTACAATGCACATCTGGCTAAAAGCAAACAACAAAAACGGCTAGTCTTGAAGAAGGACTATGCAAAGACCTTGTCCTCGGACCCCTGCTCACTCAAGAGTATCTTGAAACCTGTTTCTTCCCAATGAGCTGTAGCCACAGTTCTAACCTGGTTCCTCCCATGGCTGGGATTCTTTGACCTTTTATGTCCTCACAAGGACTTGTATGCACTTTGGCAGCGACTGTCTGAATTTCTGGTTCAGCCTTGATCTCAGCCTCTGAGGCTTTCTCGCCCCTTTAATTCCTCCAGTTGATGGCCAAGGCCTCTGCTTCCCCTTCTCTTCCGAGAGCAAGCCCTTCTTTTGAGAAATGACCGTGCCAAAGTGGAACTCACACGCCCAGCCTGGAGCAAGTCTTGTCAATCCGATTTTTAAATGATGCAGGAGGTCTGAGGGTAAGGCTTATGGTGTATCCGTCTCTGGGATGATGCAAAACAAAGTGGAAAGGAGAAAAGAACCTTCTGAATGTATGCACAGCAGCAGACCGGGAGGACAGAGAGGTAGTTACAGTGAACTGGAACAAACCTGCAACATCAGGTGCATTCCGCCTTCAAAAATAGCTGCCAGTTAGAAAGGGTTATTTACATATTGATTTCATGCTAACTTTGTAATGGAATGTGCTGCCTGCCTGCCTGAGACCTAACAACTGTCATCATAATTTTTTCTAAAAATACAGCCCGAGAAAAACACTTGGTGAACCTTCCACTGGAAAGTGGCTGAGAAAGGCCCCAGATCCCAAACGTGCTCGACAGTCAACCGTCAAGCGCAGGAACACTCAACAGCTATAACCGAGGGGGTATTTCACAGCTAGAGCTGGCCCCCGCTTCTTCCAACCAGCCTGGAGTTCCTTTTTTGTTCTCCTAGAAAACCTGTCTTGCTCTAAGGTGAGGGGAAGGCCTCACTAGCAGAGCAGCCTGTGCGGAGGCTCCAGCTGTCCCCTTCTCAGAAATAAGGGAGGAGAAGGGGCCATGTCAGTTCACCAGCTCCAAGGGCTCACTCTGGGTTCATTCCTGCCACAGTTTCTGCTGACGCGTCTCCACCCAGGATCCCCGCTTCGCTGCCTCCTAGCAGCCAGCTTCCAGCGTTTCTCACTTCGGCTCCTTCCGAACCCCCCAGGTTCGTCTCCGTGGATCCTACAGAGCGGATTCTTGGCAGGTCTGTCATCGCTCCCCGGTACGGTATTAGCAATTTAAATGCCTCTTTGCCAGGCCTGATGGAGCTGATTCGGTTGTGATCCTGGGCATATGGATGGCATATTTGCTGCGAGCTAGGTGAGACGCGTCCCAGAAGGATGCCCGCCAGCCCCCGCCGCCGCCTTCTCCACCCGCTCCCGGGGCGGGCGTGTGAGCAGTTAAATCAGCCGGAGCCAGCGGTAATTGCTGTCCACTTTGTTTCGAGCCGGCCCCACTGCTGGGGACAAATCTTTCATTCATGAAGAGGAGCTTGTTAGGCCAACTCCGGACTCCAGAGCCACTTAATTAAACTGTGGAAAGTTGCAGAGTCCCGGTGGGAAATTTGCACACAAAAGGCGCTGCGTCCGGGCCTCCCCTCCCCCAAACAACTCCGCAACAAAACCGCGGCCTCCCCGCTCCGGGCCGGCTTCCCCTCTGCACCAGGCGCCCCCCTTCCTCGCTGCGACTGCAAAAGCAGCGCCCCCTCATTAGAGGGCGTTTGTTAGGGAATGTTTTCCCAGCGATTCACTGGCAGGCCTTTCATTCCTCCCTCAGCAATCAAGGGCGGCAAGTGCAGGCTGAGAGCCCTCCAAGGCCTGATTGCTGAAAGAATTTCCAAAAGTAGAGAGTGTAAACAGGTGCATTGAAAAAGCCTCTTTTGAACAATTATGTAAACATTCCAAGCACTATTTGAAAACTTTCACAGTGGAACTGTCAGATCGGAGCATTCTTGTTTAATTGCGTGGCCACAATGGTTGTTCTGCAGACCCAGCTCAGACAGAGCTTAGTGGGATGCCGGGAGCTTCAGATAAAGAAGTCACAGAGAACCTGGACCTATACAAATGAGTCTCACTGTCAGGCCAACCGTATCTTTCTGTGTGTGTTTTTGCTCCTTGGCTTCCAGAAGAATCACCTAGGAACAGGGTGTTGTTGTTAGGTGCCTTCCAGTCGATTTCAACTCATAGCGACCCTATGTGACAGAGTAGAACTGCCCCATAGGGTTTTCTAGGCTGTCGTCTTTACGGAAGCAGACTGGCAGATCTTTCTCCTGCGGAGCCACTGGGTAGGCTCAAACTGCCAACCTTTGGGTTAGCAGCCAAGACCTTAACCATTGTGCCACCAGGGCTTCTAGGAGCAGGATAGATGTATTCTTTCCTCTGGCTGGATTTCTCCTGGTCCAGGGCTTTGCATGCAGAGTCAGCTGATAATCCTGGATGCAAGATACTAATAGATTCCCAATGGAAGCTTCTGGGTCATTTAAGGCTTTCTTCAAAGCACCAAACAATCATTCTGGATGCCAAGCAAAACTGTTAGCCATGTTCCCTTTGCCACGGGAAAGGCTCCCTGCTTGCCTTTCTCCTCTCCTTTTCTGACTCTAGTTTGTTCTTCAGGGTGTCTTCCTCTTTTTCCAGGCAGCTCAGATCCTCCTGATTCACTAACTTAACCACCAGTGACCCTAATTATGTTACTAGAAGTTGGAAGAGTTTAACTCCCATGGGCAAACTTATACTTAATCTCATACTTCATGGAGACACAAAGGTTTCAGATGACTTTTCATATAAATTCTTCCCTGAATCAGCATAGCCCGTCTCCAGGCATTCTCTCCGGCTCTGTTCAGTCTGTAACCCCCAAGCCTTGCAGGGTTGGTCTGAATAGGAATGGTGCTCCTGTGGTTGTGACGAGTAGAGCATGGCTTGTTTTTGGTTTGGTTTTTTAAATTCTCTTTCTTTAAAATCCAGGGGGAGAAACCTAACTGTTCAACAACAGGGAAGTGGCATATCAACACAATGAAATCTTACACATGTGCGCTATGAGGGCTATGTAGATATGTGGAAAATATTTATGACAACTAAGTGAAAAAGGCAGGCCACAAAATTATAGTGGCACTGTACTGGTAAATACATGAGAACATGTCTGCATGCGGCAGAAGACTAGAAAGGACTATGCCAGAATAAAAACACTTGTTCTGGGGAATGGGAGGACCAGCATGTTTTACTTCCCAAGCCTCTCTTTAATGTCATCACATCATGTTGTCAAGGCAGGGTCTGGGAAGCACCCGTGTACATACAAGATTGAACATAAAAGGCCACCCCAGTAACCTGCAGAGAGATGCACACACCAGCCTGCAGCACTGTGCATCCTTAGCGAGGATGCGGATCAGAGGTTCAGAGTAAATTCCTCAGGTCTAAAGAAGGAGCTAAGGCTTGCCTGCTTGCTGAGTCCCCAGGAGGCAGACACAGAATCACAACTACAAGATCAATCAGAAATGTGGTTAGGAGAAATGGTGATGTTCAACAGGGTCAGTTGCAGAACAGGGACCAGGGAGAAAAACCACCTCTATGTATCTCATGGAGTTTCCTGAACACAGTAAGGGCTCAAAGAGTGTCTGAATATGTCTATCTTATACCCAATGAACCCATTGCTGTTGAGTTGGTTCCGACTCAAAGCGACCCTAGGACAGAGTAGAACTGCCCCACAGGGTTCCAAGGAAGTAGACTACCTCGCCTTTCTCCCACAGAGCGGCTGGTGGGTCCGAACTGTTGACCTTTCAGTTAGCAGCCAAGCGCTTAACCACTGCATCACTAGGGCTCCTCCCCTATCTCATACCCATTGCTGTTGAGTCAATTCCGACTCATAGCGACCCTAGAGGACAGAGTAGAACTGCCCCATAGGGTTTCCAAGGAGCAGCTGGTGGATTCAAACCACTGACCTTTTGGTTAGCGGTCGAACTCTTAACCACTACGCCACCAGGGTTTGTATTTAATTTGACTAAACGCAACACATGTACTCTGCCAGGGCCTATGGTATGCTGGGCATACAAAGTTATACAATAGTTTTAATCTCAGACAGTTAATGCACAATCAAGTAGGGGGAGCAACATCTTTAAAAATACATGTGAATCAATTGATTTTTGAAAAGGAAGTCAAAACAGTTCGACGTGGAAAGAAAAGTCTTTTCAACAAATGGCACTGGGACAATGGGATATCCACATGCAAAAGAATAAATTTGGACCCCTGCCTCACAGCATATTCGAAAATTAACTCAAAGTGGATCGAAGACCTAGGTGTAAGAGCTAAAACTATAAAACTGTTAGAAGAAAACATAGGTGAAAATCTTCGTGACTTTGGATTAGGCAATGGTTTCTGATATATGATACCTAAAGCATAAACAACCAAAGAAAAAATAGAGTAATTGGACTTCATCAAAATGAAAATGTTTTTGTACTTTCAAGGACACTATTAAGAATGTAAAAAGACAGTCTACAGAATGGGAGAAACTATTTGGAAATCATAGATTTGATAAGGGTCTAGTATCCAGAATATGAGGGAGCCCTGATGGCACAGTGGTTAAGACCTCGACTGCTAACCAAAATGTTGGCAGTTCAAATACACCAGCGGCTCTGTGGGAGAAAAATGTGACAGTATGCTTCCGTAAAGATTTACAGCCTCAGAAACTCTATGGGACAGTTCTATTCCGTCGTATAGGGTCGCTATGAGTCAGAATCCCCTTGACAGCAACGGGTTTAACAGGTTTATATCCACAATATATAAAGAACTCTTACAACCTAATAATAAAAAGACAAATAACCCAATTAAAACTTGGGAAACAGATTTGAATAGACATTTTTCCAAAGAAATGTCACTATACAAATGGTCAGTAAGAACATGAAAAGACGCTCGTTGGGAAAATGCTAAGCCACTATGAGATACCACTTCACATCTACTAGGAAGGCTGTCATAAAAAAAAAGATGGACAGTAACAAGTATTGGTGATAACATGTAGACTTTGGAGCCTTCATATACTATCAGCGGGAATGTAAAATAGTGCAGTTGCTTTGGAAAACAGTTCGGCAGTTCCTCAAAAAGTTTAACCAAGAATTAGCATACGACCCAGCAATTCCACTCCTATATATATAAACCAAAACCAAACCCGCTGCTGTCGAGTCGATTCTGACTCATAGCAACCCTATAGGGCAAAATGGAACCACCCCATAGGGTTTCCAAGAAGCAGCTGGTAGATACGAACCGCTGACCTTTTGGTTAGCAGCCGTAGCTCTTAACCACTGCGCCACAAGGACTCCACTCCTAAATATACCCAAAACAAATGAAAGTAAGTATTCAAACAAAAATTTGTACGTGAATGTTCATAGCAGCATTATCCATAATAACCAAAAACTGGAAACAATCTAAATGTCTACCAACTGATGAATGGATAAACCAAATGTGATACGGTGAAACCTGTGAAAGCGGGAACTTGATGGCACTGCCTTGTTTTTCCAGGTCTCAAAAGTTTTCCGCCTTTGACAGGGTGCCATCTTACAACTTTTCTATCACTCATTTTAGTAGAAAATATTTGAGTTTTCCTTCTATGACAGGTTTCCACCGTACACAGTTTCTGGCTTTTGTAGGTTTTACTTTATATATATATCCACACAATGGAATATTATTCAGCCATGAAAAAGGAACGAAGTACTAATACATGTTACAACATGGATGAACCTTGGAAACATTATGCAAAGTGAAAGAAAGTGGTCGCAAAATTCCACGTTTTGTATGATTCTATTTATATGAAATGTCCAGAATAGGCAAATCCATAGAAAGAGAAAAGTAGAATAGTGATTGCCAGGGGCTAGGGGGAAAGAGGAATAGACAGTGACTACTAATGGGTATAGGTTTCTTTTTTTTTTATTATGCTTTAGGTGAAAGTTTACAGCTCAGGTTAGTTTCTCATATAAAAATTTATACACACATTGTTATGTAACTTAGTTGCTATCCCTATAATGTGACAGCACACTCCCTCTTTGCACCTCGGATTTCCGATGTCCATTCAACCAGCTTCTATCCCTTTCTGCCTTCTCATCTCGTCTCCAGACAGGAGCTGCCCATTTGGTTTCATGTATCTAGTTGAACTAATAAGCATATTCTTCACAGGTATCATTTTATGTCTTGCAGTCCAGTCTAATCTTCGTCTGAAGAGTTGGCTTCAGAAATGGTTTTAGTTGTGGGTTAACGGAGAGTCCAGGGGCCACGTCTTCTGGGGTTCCTCTAGTATCAGTCAGATCATTAAGTCTAGTCTTTTTACTAGAATTTGAGTTCTGCGCCCCACTTTTCTCCTGCTCTGTCAGGGACTCTCTGTTGTGTTCCCTGTCAGGGTGGTCATTGGTGGTAGCCAGGCACCATCTAGTTCCTCTGGTCTCAGGCTGATGGAGTCTCCGGTTTATGTAGCCCTCTTCATCTCTTGGGCCAATATTTTCCTTGTATCCTTGGTGTTCTTCATTCTCCTTTGCTCTAGCTGGCTTGGGACCAACTGATGCGTCTTAGA